AGATAGGCAGAGAGAGAGAGAGAGAGAAAGGCAGAGAGAGAGCGCGATCATCTCCACCTGCTCATTCTACATCACCACCACCACCACCACCACATCACCACCACCCCCACAGCCATGCCGTCCGATCTCGCCTACTGGATCATCTCGGTGCCGCTCGAGGATGCAGATCCGCACCGCATGTTCTCCGAGCTCGGCGCCAAGCTGCTCTCGGACGGCGGCGCGGCAAGCAGCGACTTTGGCCAGCTCAGCTTCCCGCCGCTCAAGACGGGCACGCTCGAGTCGCTCATCTCGCTCAGCGAGGATCTGCCCAAGCTCGATACCCAGTATACCCAGGTGGTCGCCAAGATCATCGACACGCTGCGTGCGCTCCTCAACAACGACGAGGCGGCGCTGGCACAGCATGTGCTCGTCAACGAGCAGAGCCTCGACGACTACATGCTCAGCTGGGCGTGGAATACGGGCAAGTACCGTGCCGACCGCTCCTTACGCGACACGGTCGAGTCGCTCGGCAAGGAGCTGTCGAGCATCGACAACGTCATGAAGCAGAAGCTCGCCAACTACAACGTCGCCAAGGGCCAGCTGCAGCAGCTGCAGCGCAAGAAGCACGGCAACCTCTCGGTGCGCTCGCTCGCCGACGTCGTGCACAAGGAGGATTTCGTGGATACCCAATCCGAGTATCTCGAGACGCTGCTGGTGGCGGTGCCCAAGAACAACGCCAAGGACTGGCAGGCGCGCTACGAACGCCTCACCGCCATGGTCGTGCCACGCTCCTCGAACAAGCTGGCGGCGGACGACGAGTACGCGCTGTTCAACGTGACCGTATTCAAAAAGGTGCGCGACGAGTTTGTGCAAAAGTGTCGCGAGGCCAAGTTTACGGTGCGCACCGACTTTGCATGGGACGACGAGCTGGTGGAGCGCCAGCGCAACGAGCTCGACGCGGCGGGCGAGAGCGAAAAGGAGCTGTGGACCGAACTGCTGCGTCTGGCACGAACCAACTTTAGCGAGGCGTACCAGGCGCTGGCGCATCTCAAGGTGGTGCGAACGTACGTCGAGAGCGTGCTGCGCTTTGGCCTGCCTGCCGACTACTTTGCAGTGACGGTGCGACCGAATCCGAAGCGCACAAAGGCCTTGTTGGCTACCCTCGTCTCGCACTATGCCTATCTGGACGGCGCCAAACGCAGCAAGAAGAACAACGACGCCGGTTCGGGCGAGGCGCCGGGAGAGTATGCTCAGCTGCTCGAGGAGGAACAGTTCCCCTTTGTGCTCACAGAACAGTACATGGTGCCCGTCTAAGATCCCCCCTACTTTGCATATATATACACACACACACACACACGCACGCACCTTTGTCGCACTTTGGTTGAATTTGATCCTTGCTATTTG